TAAATACAACAAATTGAGTGGGTACGTTATAATAAATTATATTCAATTATTATCATTATTATTATTAACTTGAAAAATTTGAAAAGAAAAAGCTCGAGATAAACCTCGGATATTAATCTTCTCAKAAATTATATGTTATCGATTATTATATTAAGTATAAATGTATAATACTACAATGGTTGCGTAAATTATGCACATTTAAATACGCTCACTTACCCAATGGTCGCTCTAGAGTTTTCGATGGGGTTCTAACGACCGGCAATGAGCTCCTCTGCTTATTACCTCTTCGGAACCCAGTAGAACTAGTTTCCACTTCGGACATTATGCCTGGATCGTCATCAAACAGCATCCCAGTAGCCGGTGGATATCCTCCTCTAGACGCTGGAGACTTTAAACAACAGGAAGACCGTTCAAATTAATTATAATAATCTGCAATTGGTTAAATCTGCATATTTTTGTGATCAGATTATAAATTTATAACGCATTACCGTTTAGGTATTATAATATCGAAACCAAATAAAAATAATAGAAATAAAAAATTATTCGTATTGCAAAATAAATGTACTCATCTGTTAACCAGATGATAATATTTTTGTTACCACTGTCTTTTATATCGGTTTATTGTTTATGAGCTATGTTATACCTTATCAGATACATTTAATCAAAAAATAGTTGGGCATTAACCGACTTTATAATATTGTTTATCTATTGTCAGCATCTGCTTAACGTGGCTCGTATGTGTCAACATGCGCTACAACCATATGCGATTCCTATATTTGTAATACGCAAATTCGAGAATAAAATATTTTTGTAATAACAATATAATAATAATGTTCGATTATTCAAATTGCAATGTGTAATGTAAATATTTATAAGTTCTCATTTACATAATACGTGATTTTTGGGTAGTTTAAGACATAATATTATTATAATGACATATTAAAGAAAGTGAGAGAGAATCTCTTACCAGTTACCACGCGACCACAACGATGAGTTAAGCCATTGATATAATTATAGTATTTGTAGTCAATGATTAAACATTAYGCGACACATTATGATATTATAATGTATTAAAACTAATAAGCACCTAACACATGAATCGTCACGATCTGATCATGGGAAAAAAATTACCAGTGACATCTCATGAAAATCATAAAAGTCCAAAGTTGTAACCAAAAACAAAAAATATAATCACAACACAAATTTATTTTTTGCTTACGCGGCTACAATATATCTTCATAGAATTTCATAAAAATGTAAAATAATCAAATTATGATGACCTGAGGTTTACCGTATTCTGAGAAATGCTTGATGTCATACTTAGTCATTTGTATGGTCGCAGTAGTCGGTTCTCAAGATGTGTTATTTTTTTTTTTAGTTTTACCAACACGATAGCCAAAAAACCGGATAAGCACTTCCATAAAAAATATGACMGTAAGCAAATTTTTAAGATACGTGACGGATCAAAAGTAAAAAATATGAAGCAATAAACATGCGAATTGTTGTTTTTATAACAACGTTATAGTGGATGGTAAGTACCTTCAAAATAAACGTGTAATGTAGTTATAGCATATATTTCAGTATCTTCATAAAAACTAAGAGAGGAAGAATAGTGTAATCGTAGTAGAAGTAAAAAAATGTATTTTCATATTTCATTCAAAAAATTCAATAATGAACTGGACCGTCGAAAAACATAAAATGCATGAAATGCGTTATAAAAGTTATTAAGCTGGAGAATTCTTTAAAANATTCTGAGAAATGCTTGATGTCATACTTAGTCATTTGTATGGTCGCAGTAGTCGGTTCTCAAGATGTGTTATTTTTTTTTTTAGTTTTACCAACACGATAGCCAAAAAACCGGATAAGCACTTCCATAAAAAATATGACMGTAAGCAAATTTTTAAGATACGTGACGGATCAAAAGTAAAAAATATGAAGCAATAAACATGCGAATTGTTGTTTTTATAACAACGTTATAGTGGATGGTAAGTACCTTCAAAATAAACGTGTAATGTAGTTATAGCATATATTTCAGTATCTTCATAAAAACTAAGAGAGGAAGAATAGTGTAATCGTAGTAGAAGTAAAAAAATGTATTTTCATATTTCATTCAAAAAATTCAATAATGAACTGGACCGTCGAAAAACATAAAATGCATGAAATGCGTTATAAAAGTTATTAAGCTGGAGAATTCTTTAAAAWTTTTATGTTTTTGAAGATTAAATTTATTTAATGATACGAAAAAAAAATGATTGAAAAACATGAAGAGCCACATGAACGAAGAATGTTCAAGAAAAAMCAGCCCTGAGTATGATTTAGACATAAACATTTTTAATGAATAATTGAAACATACAAAGCCGTTAAATGTGCTATACAAACAATTTTTTATCAAAGACGTTTGATTTGAAATAAATCGTACTAAAACTTCATTAACGAGAAAATTATAAGTATAATTATACAAATATCCGTAATTATACCAATGTGCGCCTACGACTTACTTTTTTCCGTTGCATTTTCGTTCCCATCTATTATAGCGGCGTACACCGCAAAGCAAACAAAACGGTGGCAATAACACAACAACAAAACATTCATTTAGTTTCGGCAAAAGCAATAGCACAATATTATAACATAATTTATTATGATAATAGCGTTTTTTTTTGTTTTTTTCATTCACGCGCGGCAATAGTAATAGATATTTAGCAGCGATTATGCGACTGAACCGATAAACACGTCGGTCGTTGTACGCAGCTAAATATAATATCAGTATTGTGCCCGAAAAATTGTGCTTAGATTGAAAAACGGAAATGAACACTCGTCGGGCGACTCACCTCCAAGTCCATGGACCTCGTCAGGGCCGGTTGATAGTTGTGATGTTGATCGCCGGACAGAGTGTGCCGCCGGGGATCGTCTCTCCTCGATGTTCGACCGCGACGGAGATCATCACCTGCAAAAAGAACAAACGACATGAATGCAAACCATCTCGTAACAGGTCCGGAAATAAATGAATAATTTTAGATAAAATGATGAAGTGGTGAAGTGGGGGGGGGGGCAAAATAAAAATATTTACAAGACAAATTATACATTTTTATGGTATCAACTACTATTATTATAATGATGCATATTATTCATATTGATTATTGCCTAAGTTAATGAAATAATGATAAAAGAAATGTGTTTTTTTAATCCATTCCCTTTAATTCACCACTGGAATACACGTTTAATCTCCACGCCAGTGAAAATATTCAGSACACACGACTTGCCGACAAATGTTTTGCCACTCATAATCATTGAGCCACACGGTCTTAAACATATAGGGACAAAGGATTTTTCTTAAGTGCCAAAAAAGAGTGTTGATACTCCAATGGTCGATAAATATGACTCTACNCTAAGTTAATGAAATAATGATAAAAGAAATGTGTTTTTTTAATCCATTCCCTTTAATTCACCACTGGAATACACGTTTAATCTCCACGCCAGTGAAAATATTCAGSACACACGACTTGCCGACAAATGTTTTGCCACTCATAATCATTGAGCCACACGGTCTTAAACATATAGGGACAAAGGATTTTTCTTAAGTGCCAAAAAAGAGTGTTGATACTCCAATGGTCGATAAATATGACTCTACTGGTATATTATCTAAAGATGATTTTTGAGATAATTTTTAACGAAACACTTTTTATTTTCATATCATTGATATTTTATGAGAAAGATAGAATTTAATAGTGTATCTGAGCAACCTTCGGTCACATAMATCCTAAATATCTTGTACATTTAACATTGGCATTTTTAAGTGTGATTCGACGTGATGGTAAACTTCGAAAATCATTATTATTTTATTACGATTGCTGTCCATATTATTTTTTAATAGTCAAGTGCACTTTGGTATTATTTCCTAGTGTTGTGGTGCTGAGCCATCCCATCGACTAAAAACCTATTTATCATAATATGTCTGTTAGGTATATAAATACTCCCRTCATACATAATATAGTTGTTATCGCGATTGGTTTGTATAATATTTACTATAAAGCGTTACAATTTGTAGCCTACAAATACTAAAATTGATTAATATGCATAWTGCCGACGTCATTGTGTCTTGTTACAATCGATAATCAATCGGTCATACATCAGGCGTTTGAAGAAGATAAAACGCTATCCTATGCAAATCGCCAGAATATATTAAAATGCTCTCRATATATAATATTTATGAAGCGGGAATAATTTGAGCTAAATGTCTTGAATATATATTACCGCGAAAAACAGAACTATGGTATATTTTAGTATAAAGATATGGGAAAAACCATAAAATATCGTATATCTACCAATACCTCGTATTATACACCAACAGAAATAATTTTACGATAGCAAAAAACATTAAACAAATATTAMACGATAAAAAAAAGTAGGTACCTATTTAATATTAGACTTTTTATGGATATTCGGAATACATGTTCAGAATAAATACGTTACTAKAACTAACTGTATATTATATAGTATATATACATATGTTACGTCACTTTTTATATGTATTTATATCAAACGTTTCATAGAAAAAATTAACAAAATCATGAAATGCTGGGACTAG